GCATGGCGTTGGGATTCATCTTCAGTAGTAACTACATGGACTTGTTCCACTAGGCTCCAGGTAAGGGGCTGGAGTGGATCTCACGCATCAGTGGTAATAGTAGTTACATAAACTATGCAGACTCTGTGAAGAGCAGATTCACCATCTCCAGGGACAACGGCAAGAACATGCTGTATCAGCAAATAAGCAGCTTGAGAGTCGAGGACACAGCCGTGTACCACTGTGCCAGAGACACAGTGAGAGGTGGGCCATGTAAGCACCCTGCAGGGGTGCTCAAGACCAGCAGGGGGCACAGGCCAGGGCCTCAAGAGCACTGCAGAGCAGGAAGCTGGGGTTTCCTGACTGTCTGAACATCACATAACTGAAAGGGACCCGAAATACACGGGGTTCAGATGACTTATAAAGTATTTGAGATTCAAGTACAGTTATATATATTTTCCTCCCACTTTGGTTCCTTTCATATGAATTTTCTTAAAACAGCAATAAACTGCAAAGTAACTTGAACATTTTGAAAAGTGTCTTTTGAATGTAAAATCATTATTATCTAAAAATGAAACTGTCATTTTTGTCATCATGGGGAGTGATTGTCTACTGCAGGAGTAAATGTTTCCGATTAGAAAATTAAATTATTCCTATGTCTCTGCACATGGTCTGAGACCTTACAGCTCTTTCCTCTCCTTAGTGACCTCAGGAAACTGGTTCCCAGGCTCAGCCCCAGTATGGTGAGGAACCCTGTGCTCAAAGGAGGAGGAAAAGGGGCGGCCAGATTGGACTGAAAAATCTAACTGGAGGGAAGGGAAAATTGAACACTGAGAAATGGACCAATTGCCTCTCCAGAAAGATCCTCAGGGAAAGATAGATCCAGAAACTTACCCTATTTTTTTGGAAATGAATTGCCATAACCATAACCAATCACCTATTCTTCAAGTATGACCATAAAGAGTCAAAGTAGTCTATAGGAGAAATAAATTACAGGAAGCATACTGTTTCCCAGAGAGATGATGTCAAAAGGAAATGAGGCAAACAGCTCAAGATTCCTTGTGATAGTTGCTGGGACAGAATCAGAGATCTCACCATAAGCACACGGAATCTTCATAGGTACAGCAGTGTGGTGAGTGTGGATCACAGCTGATAGAGCTCCAGGACCAGGTACACCTGGAGCAGAACTCAGTTTAGTCCCAGAGAGCAGCAGAGAAAGAGAAGAGGACAGGGGAACCCTGTGCAGCTTCCTCCTCCACCACCTTCTTGACCCTGCTCAGGGACCCTGCTTCAGGCTCATTGCTCCTTCTCCTCTTGGTGTCCTTTGCAAGATCTGTCTCCTCGTGGGGCTATTGGAACATCCAGGTGAACCCATGAGGGATAACGAAAGTTGCACAATCATGACACACACATTTTCACACACATGGGGAAAGGCAGTACACATAGGGAGACTCAGGTTTGGCTCTGTGTCCATGTCTGTGCTGGGTCCAGAGGGCAAAATGGAAAGGAATCAGTAAATGACACCCAAGAGGATGTCACTTGGTCCTTCTTGGTGACAAGGGTGTCCTGCAGAACCTAGGCGCCCATCATGGAGATGAACAAGATCATAAAGCAGCAGCTTCCTGGACAACCATGTGATCAGACACTATATCACCAGTGTCAGTGAGGAATGCTGCTCCCTGCCCATCTGTCCCTTCTGGGAACCAGGACATTACTTGAAAGATTCACTGTTGAATTCTACAAGAAATGTAGAGAAGAACTAATGCCACTACATCTCAAATGCATTAATGAAATTGAAAAGGAAACAATACTCCTAATTTATTTCTGAAGTAAGTATTACCCTGCTACTAAAACTAGAGAAGGACCCAATAAAAAAAAACTGCAGGCCAATCTTGCTAATCAACATAGATGCAAAAGTCTTCAGTAAGATACTGGAAAACAATGCAGCAAATCATGAAAAGATTACACACCATGAACAAGGAGGATTCGTCCCAGGGATGCAGGGATAGTTCAACATATGCACATCAATAAATGTAATACATCATATTAATAGAGATAAACACAAGATTATATCAATAGTTGCAGAAACAACATTTGACAAAGTCCATCATCACCCATTCATGATAAAAACTCTGTTGAAATTGAAATAGACTTTATCTCAACCTGATAAAAATCATCTAACACAAAACAACAGCCAACATCACATTAAGCATTCCAAAAACTGAAATCTTCACTCTTACTTCAGGAACAAAATAATGATGTCCACTATCACCAGTCCTACTTAATATAGTTACGGAAACATTAGCCACAGAAATTAGAGAAAAGAAGGAAATAAAAGGAATCACAATAGGAAAGGAAGAAGTTAAATTATCATTATTTGTGGGTGACATACTATTCTACATTGAAGATTCCAAAAACTACACCAGAAGAATTCTAGATTTAATATCCAAATTCTGTAGTGGAGCTGGATACAAAGTCAGCTCTCAAAAATCAATAGCATTCCTGTACACGAATAGTAAGCTCACTGAGAAAGTTATCAGAGAAAGCATACTCTATTAGGCAATAGTACCTAAAAAATGAAATACTTAGGAATCAATCTAAAAAAGGAAGTAAAAAATCTATGCATAAACAATTGCAGTAGTCTGAGAAGTAATTCAAAAACTATATCAGAAAATGGAAATATATGTGTTGTAAATGTAGAGGAAAACATATATAGTTATAATGGCCATAGGCAAAAAATTGCTAAAGAGATTTATAGCAATCCCCATGAAAATACCATTAGCATACCTCACAGCTAGAGAAAAAACTCTTAAAATTCATTTAGAAACAGCATAGATCTAGAATAGCAAAAACTATTCTTGGCAGCAAAGGTAAGGCAGAAGGCATTACTGCTCTGCCTGCAAAGCTCTGTGATAAAATCAGCATGGGACTGGCCAAAAACAGACCTGAGGATCAGTGGAACAGAATAGATGGTGCAAAAAAAAACTCCACGGACACTTTATCTTTCACAAAGGGGACAAATATGTTCACTGAAAGAAAGATAACCTCTTTAGTAAGTGGTGTTGTAAAAACTGGCTTTCAACATCACATGACAAAAAATAGGTCCATTTCTATCACCATGTACTAAAGTTCAAATGAATCAATAATCTACATATTAAAACAGAAACATCAAATCTACTTGAGGGAAAGTAAGTAGAAATCTTGAAGACATAAGTGTAGGAAGAGAGTTCAAGAACAAACCCAGATTGCATAGGAAATGCTTCAAAGAACCAAGGAATGAGACACGCTGCATGCATGGTCTTTAGGGCTGCAGGAGTGAAATATTCAGCTCCTAACTGCCAGCCAGCTGTCCGACTGACTCTAGGCAGCCCGTATTTAATTAGAACAAGCAAGGAGTTGAGTGGAAAACGCGGGAAACCTTAGCAGGATCATGGGAGGAGTTCAAGGACCTCTCAGATTAACAGACAATGCTAATTAAAGAAAACTGTCCAGAAAGTCTCCAGATGTCCTCAGCTGTGGCCTATCTTGCCCCTGAGGTGTCTCCTCATTCTCAGTTCAGCCATGCTAGGCCCACACCACAGTCCTGCACTTGCATTCAGCTTCAACACTCTCCAACAAATGGGCAACCCACACAATGAGAAAAAATTTATTCAGTTGTCCTTCAGACAAAGGATATACCTAGAACACATAAAGAGTTGAAAAAATCAGACTCCCTAATTTAAAGATCCAATCCAAATGTGGGCATCTGAAAAGAATACACACTTCTCACATGAGGAAATACAAATGGGAAATATATGAAAAAATGTTCAACATCATTCATCATATGAGAGATGTAAATTAAAATGACACTGAGATTCCATCTCCAGTAAGAATGGCTCTCAGAAAGATATGAATGAATAAGAAATACTGGAGTAGCTGTGGGGAAAAAGGAATCTTTTCCCACTGTTGGTGGGAATGCAGAATGGTGCAACACTATGGACATTGGCATGGAAATTCCTCAGAAAACTAGAATTAGAGGTCCCATTCAATCCAGCTATTCTCCCTCCAGGTGTCTTCTCAGGAGAAACAAAAACATCATACCACAGGGATATATGCGTACCCATGTTTATAGTAGCACAATTTATAATAACTCAATCTAGAAAACAGTTCAAATGCCCATCAACACAAGACTGTGTTAAAAAAATGTAGTCTTTTTATACAATTGAATACTACTCAGACATAAAGAAAGATAAACTTGAGAGCTTTATAGGTAAATGGATGCAATTGGAGACCATACTGGTTAGTGAAATAAATCACAGTCACACGTTTAAACACTGTATTTTCTCTTTGGTGTGAGAAACAAAGTAAATAAGATCCAAAATGCACAATAGATATTGTGACATGGGAAGAATATTTTCAAAAAGAAAAGGAAATAGGCTGGGGGAAATGAAAAAGGAAGGTAAAGAAAGGATAGTTATACTATGAGTTTCTTCTAGATCATTGAAAAGAAAGTTTTGCGTTAGTATCATTTGGAAAACTCTTTATACTTTTATCTTGTGCTCTGAGTACTTTAATTTTTTGTTTTATTTTAAAGAGGATGAAACAGAATAAAACCAATCAAAACAAACCAGTATAAAAGGTATATGACTTCAAAAGATTACGAAATCAAGAATAGTCACCATAATGCCTTTTGATGTCTTTAAAATAGCTGCAATGGTTCAGAAACTTCTGGGTTTCAATTTATTATTTGAGCCGGGCTTGGCGACTCATTCCTGTAATCTCAACAACTAGGGACACTTAGACAAGAGGATTGTTGTAGTTTAAGATCAGCGTGGTGTAAAAAGTGAACTCAAGGAAGCCTGAATTGCATACGGAAAACCTGTCTCCAAAACACACAAAAAAATAAATAATGTATCATTTGCGCTACACCCCTGCTGGAACAGGTTGGTTTCGCCTGTCACACTCAGCTCAGCTGTCAGGCCAAGGAACAGGAGCCAATCGGCAGTGAGGGCTGTCTGACTACCCAATCAGGTGGGGCAAGGGGAAGGGCCTTCCGGTGTCATGGAGCCGCGGTGACCATCGTAAGTGCGAAGCTGAGAAGACCTCGTTGATTAGAACGCCTTGTTCTGTGATTTCTCCTGGCTGCCGGTTGCATTGGAAGGGTCCTGGGAGACCCTGAAGCACGCAATGGTGACGATACGGGAAGGGATAAGGGGATGGGATGGAGCAGGGTGCGTTCCGGACGGAAGTGGTCAGAAACAGCTGTGGCGGTCTCCTTGCCGTACCCCTGCTCAGCTGCAGGCGCCAAAGTCTCCTGGTCTTCAGCGCCGTGTCACCCTCTGAAACGTTTCCCATTTGCCCAGGCAGGAACAGTGCTGGGTCCGCAGCATGCAGACACTGTGCTGTGACACCGCTGCCCCACGGTCCCTTCCTGTGCGGCCCAGGCGGAGGTGAATATCCCCGGGTCTGCCGAGAGCAGCGGCTTTGTGGGACGCTGGGATTCTTCCTCAGCGATGGAAAAGCCATCTTTTCAATTTCTCACGTGAGAAATTGAAGAGATGGCGTTTCCTTCAATTGAAATCTTTACTGTCAACCATGATACTGCATAAACAGGGCTCGTGGTCTTCACAGCATTGAAGAACGAGGTCGCCAACCCGAAGAAGGGAGTTAGGGATTTTATTGAAAATAAGACTAGCTCCGTGATTTTCAGAAGTGCCCCCAAGTGGGTGGCCTTATGGCCTCACTATCCAAAGTTAATTATAGATAAACAGAGCACATCTTTACTGTGCTCAGTTGGTTAGTGACCATCTGTCACGGTGGGCTCATGATTTAAAACAGCATTTTAAACTCACACACTCTAAGCCATTTCCTCAGCATGTAGTTGTTAAATCGAAACTGAAATTTTAGGAAAACACTGGATATTTTGTAATCTCAGTTCCTGGAAATTCAGGAACTTACTTGAGTGGGGCTGCAACTTGTTTTATTAGGAAGGAAGCTGCATTCTCTGTTGTGCAAAAGGTATGCCCTTGGTCCACCGTCCTAGGTAATTGGTTATTCTCAATTTAATTCTTAGTAGAATAGCTCATTTCCCAACGCTGTATCAGGCTCTTCTTTTGCTAGCTGTCTTACTTATTTATTTTTGTCTTTTGATACAGGGTCTCCCTATGCAGTTCAGACCAGTCTTGAGCTCACTTTGTAGCCCAGGCTGGTCTCAGACTTGCAATGATCCTCCTGCTTCAATCTCTCGAGTGCAGGGATTACAGGAGTGCCCCACTACACCTGGCTCTCGCTGTCTTATTTATAAGGTAAGTAAAAATTCTTTACAATCAGACTATTTAAGGGAGGATTTCTATAGTTTAGAGTGCTGGGAAAGATTCAGGGATGTTCATGTATTACCAAAGGTGGGGAAAGTATTTCTGCTAAGGAGAACTTCCTGAAGGGGCTGTCTATTAAACCCACACTGAGAAATGCATTGAACTAGGGCATCAACACGGAGGTGTACATGTGGTATTGCTATGATTGGAAAGGCAAAGAGGTATCATTTCTGAACTGACTGCTTTGTAGTCCGTGGACTGTTTCTAGACACAGTTTTAAAAACTGAAACACTCTGCGTGGCAAGATGTTTGATCTTTTTCACTGAAAGTAAGAAATTTACAGTACTACATCTTGACCCTGCAAAACTTTTTTTTTAAATTTTTAAGGCCAGATATCACTAAGTCATCCAGACTTGGGAGAAATTTTGATGGATTCCATCTCCTTAACTGTTGGGATCATAGATATGTGCTACCTTGGTAGTTTAAGATTGGGATTACACATCATCATGAGTTATTAAGATTATAGTGGTTGCATAAAGAAAACATCACTGAGGCATGCTGGTGTACACTTTTAATATCAGACACTTGGTAAATTTAGGGGTATTAAATGACCAAGACAAATCTGGATAACTGACCCAGACCCTTTTTCATTTTTTTTTATTTTTTTATTTTTTATTTTAAGGAGATTAAGACAAAAGAGAACATAACAAAGCAGACCAGATCAGAACAATGCAAGTAACATAGCATTTTACCACAAGACAACCCATAATTAACAGTAACTACCATAATGTCTCTTTGAAATAGTTGAGCATAGCTTCATATACGATAGTATCAAACATAACAAAACAGTATAAAACCATTCAAGAGAATGAAAGCATTACAGGGCTTTCAGAACCAAATAGCAAAGAATGAACAATGGCTACTATATTACATCATTTTCCATAGAAAATTTGTTTGTACTATCACACATAATAATATCCAATAAGATATAACAGGATAGATCCAAAGGCAACAGAAAAACAAAAGCATAGTAGGACTTCAGAGTAAGATGATACTAAATCAGCACTGGCTATTCGAATGTCTTGTTTTCTTTAAAATAGCTGTTTATACTATCACAGATAATAAAATCAAACAAACTAGGATAAAACCATTCCAATTAATGAATGCAGACATTATAAGGCTTCAGAGCAATGTAATGGGGAATCATGATTACTATAAACTCATATCTACTCTTACCATTTCTTACACTAGGAAGACTATATGGTATTTATACATGTGATTTTGATTTATTTCGCTTATGAGTATGGTCTTAAGTTGCATCCATTATTTATAAATATCTCAATGTGGTCATTCTTTATAGCTGAGTAGTACTCCACTGTATAAAAATACCACAGCTTTTTTATCCATTCCTCAGTTGATGGACACTTAGGTTGTTTCCAAGATCTGGCTATTACACATTGTGCTGCTATAAACATGGGTGCACATATATCACTGTGCTATGATGTTATCAGTCAAGATCCTTTTTCAATATGAAATAAATACATTGAGGGTGTACTTGAACTCTAAACTAACTTGTCTAATGTGCATGAGGTCCTGAGTTAAGTTTCTAGTAATAAAGAGAAAATGAAAAATTATTTAGTGCAAATTTTACTTTAAATTTTGAAATTTCCTGATTTTTCACACTAATGGTACATGGTACAGTACTTCCTCAAGATGGTACAGAGCAGTAATGAGTCACTGCAATGTCAGAAAGAGGACACTAACTGTGAACAAACAGTGGTTTACAGTGTACTGTATTCAGGAACATAAATGAGAGTGTTAGTGTTTTATTGTGAATGTGGTTTTCTCGTATATAAATTTGCCCAAATACAGATCAAATACAGATGTGTGTTGAACAGGTTTAAAGATTTCAAGGCTCAGGCATATGTGTGCTTACGTTTCATGCCTTTTCAGTACATTTTCTCTTCAATTACTTTTCAGTTGATGAAGATATTTTCTTTTTGTCACTCAAGCAGCATCTGTAGACTAATTCCTTCAACTCTTGTAGTCCTCTGTAGAGTCCGACACTCACCAGATTGTTTCTTTTTAGGAGAGCTATATTAATCAGTATTTTCTGAGGTATACAGTTCTGAGAACAGTATAGTTCTGTTTGGAAAAAGGAAAATACTCTGGATGTTTTTTGTTTGTTTTGTTTTGAATTTTAAAAATCATTATTAAAATAGTTGCCCGACTCCAGCCACACTGTTTGGATTTCATTAGCAGGACAAGGGGATAGGAGGGAAAGCTCCAAAGAAAAGACACAGTGCTGAGTAGCTAGAACCCAACACACGAAGCATGTGCAAGGTTGAAGGGAAAGCATTTCCATTTCTAGTTTTAATTTATGCTGATCTGGGGAAGCCTTCTTTCTGTTTTAACCTTAGATCATCATCTACCTTTGTACATTAGCCTTACTCCTTCTGCAAGCACTTTAACTTCCAAGCGTGTCTGTATCCATACTCTATATCAACACTTAGAAGATGTTCAGGTTCTCTGTGCAGGACATACTTTGCATTATTAGATTGTTTCATCTTCTAATGACCTTATGAGCTCCACTTGTATTTGACAAAGGAGTGCTTGTTGAATCACCTGATAGAGAAATTTAATATATTGCGTTTCACACAGCTAACATGGGGACTGCTTCATTGTATCTCAGAGATTCCTGTAATTGGTATTTGCATTTTTGTTTGATAATAGATATTGTATAATTTCTTCTTTATTTTTTTCTGTGACCCATTGATTGTTGAGGAGTGCTATTTAATTTCCATATGTTTATGGAGTTTTTGTGATTTCTTTTGTCATTGATTTCCAACTTTATTGCAGTGTGGTCAGATAATGTTCTTGGGAGAATTTTAGATCCTTTGCATTTAGAATTCCTAATGCATTCCTTGCATTCAGTTCCTAAGCATGTTGTGTGGGATAGTATATGGTCTATTTTACAGAATGACCCATGTGCAGCTGAGAAGAATGTGTATTCTGATATTGTTTGGTGGAACACTCTGTATACATCTACTAAGTCCATTTGTTTACAAGTTTGATTTAGTTCTGTTGTTTGCTGACTTTTTGTCTAGTTGATCTGTCTCTTTTTAACAATGGCATGTTAAGGTCCCCTATTATAATTGTATTATAGCTTATTTAAATTTCCATGTTTGTTAATATTTATCTTACATATTTGGGTGTTCCCATATTTGGTGCGCATATATATATATATATATATATATATATATATATGTATATATATGAATAAAACCAAAGAAAACAATAGAGTTAATCAAAATAAAATAATGAATGTGATACAAGACTTTAAAACAATGTATGAAAAAATCAATAATGGCTACCATAATGCCTCTTGTTATCTTTAAAATAACTGTCCCTACCATCAGGCATAATAAAATCAAACAGAACAGAATCACACCAATCAAAACAAAATAATGAAAGCAATAGAGGACTTCAAAACAAATCAGTACAGAAATAAAGTATTTGTGGCTATTTTGGGCAACCAGTGCTACAATTTGGCTATTTCTGTAGCAGTGAATTGGAAGCTAGTATCAGAATTGTTATGTGAATATATGTGCATATGCATAGATTTTGTGACCAAGACATGGAATTAGTGTGAAGGAATCAAACTCATTTCAGGTTTTTATAAGAGCAGTTCAGATATCCTAGGGTGTGAGTCTCAATCTTCTTTCAGGAAAAATATCTATGATTATTTAGGAGCCAGTGACCTTGGAGGATATAACTATGAATTTCACCATGGAGGAGTGGGCTTTGCTGAATCCATCCCAAAAGAAGCTCTACAGAGATGTGATGTGGGAAACATTTATGAATATGACTGCTATAGGTAAGAATGACATCATTTTCTCATTTATGCAGTCAGAGCGCATTGGTTCTTACTCACTGCTAGTGATTCATTAAATAGAATGTGAAAACATTTTGAAGAATATCTCAGACCTGTTAATATTATGATACCATGACTTGAACCGCCACCTGCCAATTTTTATATAACGATGTAGTGACTTTTTGAATTTCTGTGACTACATTTCAGAAAGTACCTGGGAAAACCAGCAAAATGAAGAAGAATACGAATGTTTCCCAAGAAACCTAAGGTAATTTGCATTCATTAGGAAAAAGAATAACCCCCAAGGGTTATATGAGCACAAATACTGTAATGTAGGAAAGTAGACAAATGATGTTGTGTTCACATTTAATGTCGCAAAAATTCTCCTAGTATGCACACAGCTTGTTTTTATATAATCTGACATTGACTACAGAAATACTCTAATACAGGAAAACTAACTTGGTAGAGATACTATGCAACAAAGACACTGTCTCATACATCAGTATAAAAAAATGTTCATGATCAACATCATGAAAATGTATAAATTTGCTTTTTGGTATTGTGCATAGGCATTTATGAAAAGAGTAAATTTTGAACATTGACCAAAACTCATCTTCAAGTTGTGTATTTGTGTATTTGTATGAATATGAAATATACATTGTCCAAAAAATTGTCATGCTGGGAGCAATTTCAAAAGACAACTTAATGCAAGTGTAATGATAGATATTTTCAAAACATCTTCCAGGGAATTGAGTGCATTCATGCTTTAAAATTCTTAGAAACCACATCATATGATGTTGGTAGGAGTACAAAAGAGGAGCATTTAGATAAGCAATATACAAATGTACAATATACAAATGTCTCAAATGTAAAAATATGTATGGGGGCTAGGGTTTTAGCTCAGCAGCATAAGCGCCTGCCTTGCAAGCAGGCAGTCATGAGTTCGATCCCCGGTACGGATAAAAAGGAAAAAGACAAAAAAAAAAAAAAATGTATGATTACAGTGTAACCAAATACAAAGTAATAAATGTATATGATTCAGTCAAGCCTCCCTATGTATGTTCTGAAAGAGTTTAAAATTATACCTTAGTTATACATCCATATTTACTCAAATCTGGATGTGCGAGAGTATTCACAATACTTAAGTTTTGAAAATAATTCACAATACGTCAGTTCTTCTAGCAGCTTAGCTGCCTGCCGTGGAATGCAGGGATAAGGAGCATGTAGGCACAGTGCTGCCTTGTTATAATCCCAGCGCTCTGCTTGGCTGAGCAAGCAGGATGGCAACATGAAGTTCTCGCTCACCAAATTCATGAGCAGGGAGACCCAGAACAAGACAACAAATCTAGAAATGTAGTTTAGTGCTAAAACCCTCATTTAATTCTCAGCACTGAAAACATCTGCTGTGTATTCAGCCATAAAGAAGAATAATATATCTCTTGACAAAAAATGTTGGGACTCCATTTCATTATACTAAATGAAATAAACTAGACACAGAAAGTGAATCACCACATTTTTTAAATGAGATATCAAAATTTAAATTAGGTTGTAAAATAGAGGAGATGTGATGAAGAACAGAAAAGCTAACTTGTTGGAGATGGGAAAGAAGACCTGGGTAAGGAGAAAAAGATAGAATGATGGGGCAAAAGGTGTTGTACTCTTTTTTTTTTTTTTTTTTTGTCTTTTTCCTTTTTATCGGTACCGGGGATCAAACTCACGATTGCCTGCTTGCAAGGCAGGCGCTTATGCCGCTGAGCTAAATCTCCAGCCCCCAAAAGGTGTTGTAAAAGATCAATATTATCAATGACCTAAATGAAACTAGATGTCAACTGTTGCAAATCTTTTATCAATTTAAAAATCCAAAATGAATGGCATCATATGGGAAATGTGTGTTTTGAAAGCATACTCCAGGGCATTCAGAGGGTTAACTCTCAACAACTTTTAGTAGGATCGAGGCAAAACTTGTTCTGGTAAATTATTTTTAGAGAGATTTTTTTTTCTTGTGATTGATATATTTTTCTTTTTTCTTACAGAAATGAAGAGGTGGTAAAATGGCATCAACACAAACCTTGGAATCAATATGAAAACCTATTCCTTTGTGCTTCTGATGCTAATATGGACATGCAGCAAGCTGCTTTAAAGCAAGTTGAAAACTTTGCTTGTAGAGAGCCCCTGCATATATCACAAAATGAACCCATTTTTCCTCACATTGACCTGAAGCCAGATGAATATTTGGGATTTGATGACCAGCCATATATATTTAATGATCATGGAAAAATCTGTAGTGATCTCCAGTCCTTTCTGAAGCATGTAAAGACACAAACAGGAAGCATGTCTTATCAATATGAGCAACATGGCCAAACCTGCCCAGAACAGAGCGAGAGACCTCACCTCGAAAAGAACATTATTGTAGGTAAGAAAAATGTGAATGCCTCGAGGACTCCCAGTGGTATTTACACTGGGAAGAAACCTTGTATATGCAAGCAGTGTGGGAAAACATTCCATACTCAATTTTGTTATAAAATTCATATAAGATTTCACATGGATGAGAAAACCTATGTATGTAAGCAGTGTGGGAAAGCATTCAATAGACACCAAAACTTTGAAAGACATAGAAGAATTCACACTAGGGAAAATCTATACGTATGTAAGCAGTGTGGAAAAGCATTTACTACAAAGTATTCTTGTAACATACATGAAAAAATTCATACAGGAGAGAAACCTTATGTTTGCAAGCTATGTGGGAAAGCATTCACTACGCAGATTGCCTGTAAAATACATGCAAGAATTCACACTGGGGAGAAACCGTATGCGTGTAAGCAATGTGGGAAAGCATTTAGCACACTCAGTTACTGTAAAGTACATGAAAGAATTCACTCAGGGGAAAAGCCCTATGTGTGTAATCAGTGTGGAAAAGCATTCCACACTCACAATTATTGCCAACGACATAAAAGAACTCACACTGAAGAGAGACGTTATACCTGTAAACAATGTGGGAAAACATTCACTACACAAAGATATTGTCAAATACATGAAAGAACTCACACTGAGGAGACACCTTATGTGTGCAAGGAATGTGGAAAAGAATTCACTGGAAAAATTTCTTACACCAGGCATGAAAAAACTCACACAAGGGAGAAAACTTATGTGTGTGACCAGTGTGGAAAAGTATTCCCTACACACCATGCTCGTAAAATACATGAAAGAACTCACACTGGGGAGAAACCTTATGTTTGCAAGGAATGTGGGAAGGCATTTACTATGCAGAATACTTGTAAAAAGCATGAAAAAACTCACACTGATGAGAAACCTTATGTATGCAAAGAATGTGGAAAAGCATTCACTAGAAAGTATTCTTATGAAAGACATGAAAGAATTCACACTGGTGAGAGACCTTATGTGTGTGAGGAATGTGGAAAAGCATTTCCTAGCAAATTTTCTTATAAAAGACATGAACGAACTCACACTGTTGGGAAACCTTATGTTTGCAAAGAATGTGGCAAAGCATTCACTACAAAGAGTTCTTATAACAAACATGAAAAAAGGTCACACAGTGAAGAAACCGTATGTGTGCAAGCAATGTGGAAAAGCACTCACTGCAAAGAGTTATTATAAAGAACATGAAATATTCACACAGGGGAAAAACCATATGTTTGCAAGCAATGTGAGAAGGCATAGTTTCATCAAACGCATGAAAGAACTCACAGTGGAGAGAAACCATATGTGTGTAAGGAATGTGGGAAGGCATTCTCTGCTCACCTATGCTGTCAAATACATGAAAGAACTCACACAGGTTAGAACTCCAGCATGTCAGCCTTGTGGCAAAAGGTTTGTTTGTAGATCCTCATTATATATATATCATCCTACGTAGGAACCTTTTGTATTTAAGCAATGTGTGGAAAACATTCAGCGAACACTTTTTATCACCTACATGAAAAAAAGTTACACTAGGGAGAATCCCCTATATATGTGAGCCCATTTTGAAAATTGTATAAAAATTCGTCATATAGTAGAGACCTGTACAAATTAAATGAAAAATTCAGTGTCACCATTTCTTCATAAATTTTCCAGAAAATACACTCCCAGATGGAGATATCCTAGAATATATTCCTCCTGTGTTTTTCAGTAAATCACTTGTAAATGTGAGCTAAGTATGAATAGTTTTTATTATAAAAATTTGACATAATATATTTTTGTGTAAGCCATTGTCTTTTAACTTAATATATAGGGTGTATATATATACATATATATAGTATCTTCTAATTAACAAGAATTAAATTTTATTTCTTACTTCCAAATAAGATTAGTATGTGTATAGTTTTGATTTTGTTTTGTTTTTGGTATTGAGAAGTATAGACCACTAAAAAACCCAAATTTTAATGTTTTTTTAATTGATGGGATTTCTTACTAGCTTTGATTTTAGTTTTCATGGTGTGTGTATTTCACATTCTTTGTAAAAAAATTCAAAATATGATACATATATGTATGCATATTTAGAGACATGTGAACATGTGTTTTTGAAAAATTGAATTGTTTTCCACACCTTCTGTAGATTAGCAAATGTATGGTGTATTATATTGTAATAGAATACTTGAATATATCCCAGCATCGTTATATCAATTATGTAATTTGATCTATGTTGCTTTCAAGTCTTGGTCAGTATTATGATTTACATAAAATTTTGATTTTTTCCCATCAGCATTTGGCTTTTCTGCTTGTATTGTTATGACTTCAAATTTGTTACAATTTTATGACTGTAATACACTAAAAAAAGTAAACCATACTGCTGTTTTTGATGTGTGACATCAGATGGACCATGACTTCTCTGCGAAACAATATCATAAATTGTAATAATGTATCAGTGCTTTCTAGAGAAATAGGGGTTTATGTGACACATAAAAATTTACAATATTGGTTTAAAAGGGCTGCCCACACAATCAAATATCGAAGAATGCAAAAGATCTATATTACACTAGATACCAAAAACTCCAGTTAAAGGCCTGGTGCTCACTGCAGTTCACCATGGGAGGCCATGTCATGAGACAAAAGGGTCTGAGCCAGAAGACTGAATGATGGGCTAGCTTGGCAAGTGCAAGGTCGTAAGTTCAATTCCTGGTACTGGGGTCGGGACCACATGACCAGAAGACCGAATGGTCTGAGTTGCAGGCTGGAGTCTGCACTGGGCGGCTGAAGTGTCTTTGCCTGAAGCTGGAGTTGACTTCCAGGGTGATTGTGAATAGTGGAGCTCCTCCCAAGAAATGGAATGAAATCTTCCATTTTCATTTCTTTTTTTTTATACCATTGTGGCAACAATTCTCCATAGGGTGGGTCTCCCCCACACAGAACTTTTCTAGATTAATTTAGTCGGGCTTGTAGTACTCAATTGGCACAATCAGTTAACTATCACAATCCATCCTTGCCACATTCACAACCAGACACATTTGTTTAAACCATACTCTCAATGCAAAGATGAGCACATAAATGTACTTCATGTGTTATAACTGTCCAGAATACAAATGGGAACAAACTAATTCCCTCCCCAGATTTGAAGGGAAACTTTCTTTGGAACATGCTTCTAACATTTCATAACTTGAAGACTATACCATAGTGACCGGAGCCGCGGAAGACAGGAGGCCAAACTCGAGCAGGATCAGCTCTCAAACTTTATTGCGTACAGCGAACCGGACCTAACAAGGTCCGCCACCCTCAACGTTGGTTCCTCTTCCGCCCGTTGGGGGCAGGAACAACCTCTTATAAGGGGAAGCAGTATCCAATCACAGAGAAGCGCGCCTAACAAGCTGATAGGCTAGCGTCACGGGTAACTGGGCAGACATGACAATTTGGCGGGCTTGTTCAGGCCGGGAAGAACCCGGAAGCAGGAAATGGGCGCCATCATAGGTGGCTTCCCACACCATAGGTTGGACAAGGCTTAATTAAGTCTGTTATATTGCATTGGAAGCATATTAGGAAAGAACCATTACAATTACAATCCTTGTTTCTGTAGCTGATCACAGGGCCATAGCTCTCATTTACATCTAACTTGTACTACCCACCTGGTATTTCCTTGACCATCAGCAAGTCCCTCAGAAAATGGTTCCTCCCTTGGTGTGGTGACCCATAGCTTCATTCCTGAAGATTGTGGAACATTTGACATTCTTTCTGGATTGGATTGGATTTGTATAGTTTAGCTTTGACTGGTAACAAGGCATGGTTATACTGGGAGGTACCTCACAGGAACTGCTCTCCAAATATATTTTTCTCTTTTCCATTGTAGAGTAGTAGTTTAGTTTTCTCTTTGAATCTAGATCACCCACCCCTCTCAACATTGAAACTTCCTTTTTTAGCTTGATTCCTCAGTGTCATAAGGAGACAAAAATGACCAAGGGGGAAGTCTTTGCATCCCATTCAGTGGTATCCTTTCTGTGCTTGCCCCAACCCACAGAACTAAGACTTCTTCTAAACTGAGCATAAGGTCATAAGAACAGGGTTTAGGGGCTGGGGATTTCAGTGGCATAATTGCCTGCCTTGCAAGCAGGCAGTCCTGAGTTCGATCCCTGGTACCCGATAAAAAGGAAAAAAACAAAAAAAAAAAAAAAAAAGAGAGAGAACAGGCTTTAAATTTTGCTGGTAGATCACAGCAGTAATGTTGAGTGGTACCACTCTTGCTTCCACTCCTTCATTCTTGAACCCATGAATCCTAACTATGAGAAACAGTACCCTATAGTGGATGCTGTTTCAAACCATACACATCCTTTTGAAAAAACTTTACCCATCTCTGCGAGCTATTGCCACCTAACTGGTGCTGCAAGTGTATCTTCAAAGGGCCATTTCAACTTTCTGTCAAATCGTCTGCTTCTGGATGTTGAGGAACATGGTAAGCCCAGTGAATTCCATGACTATGAGCCCATTTCTTCACTTCATTGGCCCTCAAATGTGTTCCTTGGTGTGAGATCCAGTGCTGTGTAGAATTTGATAGTTGGTAAGGCATGTGAATCCATGGGGAGGAGTATTGGCAGAAACAGTGCAAGCAGGAAAGGCAAATCCAAATCCAATATGACAGTAAGCACAAAGCACACTCTTTCCATGATGTATACAGTTCAATCTGATCAACCTGCTGCCCAGTCAAAGACTGATGATCCCCAAAACTGGTGCCATGTTAGAGAATTAGTGGGCTTATAGCCATATTGGGCATATAGCAGTGGCTGTAACTAAATCGGGCCTGGTGAGTGAGAGTCCTTGTTCCTGAGTATGCATGATCTCCAACTTTCCCAACATAGCCAATCTATTCCTGAGCCCACTGGACAATTACAGAAGTCCACTGGGCTGACAAGAAGTTGACAACTATCTACAAAACAGGTCATCGTATTCTCTTGATTGTTAAAGTCCTACATGGGATACAAATATTTTTATATCCTTTGCCCATATAGATAGGTTTACCCACATACCAGACCCCTAAATATCTGTCATCAATTTTCCACTTATGTTCTTCCAAGTTCCTGATACCCGAGGAGACAATTGGCTTCAGGTTATGAATCAGTATACTTTTCCATATCTGATCATTTTCCCTCCCAGGTAAAAATGTACTCTCAGGTGCACTGCCCAAAGTTCTCCCCACTGGAATGATTTCTTTCACCACTATCCATCACGGATGTTCTGGAAAGGAATTGTAATCCTGTAGCTGTTCACTTGCAGGTGGTGCCTATGTAACATGTAGAACCATCAGAAAACAGTGGCTGGCCTTTTTTGTTTGTTTGTCTGACAATTGCTCATATGTTATGCCCCATGAGGCCTTAGGTATATGTTGGAAAGCAGAATATGATTATGTGAGAGTAGGTGCCATCAGCATCTGTGGAACTTCTTCACATAACTTACTTGCCCGCCCAGAATCTCCCTGTCTTGATTATATGTATGCCATTTTGGTATAATGACGGACTGTTGCTATGCACATCCAAGTTAGAACTCATTGGATACAGTAATACATAGCTCTTGATAGACATCTAAGGTTGCATGATAACCTGGTGTCCCATGGTGAAGCATTCAGTATCCAATAAGGCCCAATAGAAGACCAAGAGCTGTTTTTCAAAAGAAGTGTAAATATATGCAGATGATAGCAGGGATTTGCTCCAAAATCCTAAATATCTCCATAGCAATTTATATATGAGTGGCTGCCAGAGACTACAACCAGACCCCTACCTGCTACTGACAGTTGAAATACCATCGGATCTGCGGGATTCTGTGACCCGAGTAGCAGAGCAGCCTGCAAAGCAGCCTGGGCCTGTTGCAGTACCTTTCCTCATTAAGGCCTCACTTAAAGCTAGCAGCTTTTTGAGATAAATAGTGAATGTGCTGGAGTAAAGCACCTAAATGAGAAATCTATTGCCTCCAAAGTCCAAATAAGCCAACTGGGCATGTACCTTCTTTTTGGGTTTATGGGAAGCCACACTGACATTATATATCTCTACATACCTCACATGGAAATTTCACTGAGGCAGAAGGACTGAGAATTGTAGTGAGATTTATTTCAGATCCTCTGGCTCTCAAATCCTTTACTACAAAATGCAAATTGTTTGCTACCTCCTGCTCATTAGTCCAATCAGCACTATATTATCAATGTAATGAGCCATTGTGATGTCTTGTGGAAGAGAAAGAGTAAGAAGACCCTTGCAAAGTAAGTTGTGACACACTGCTGGAAGGTACATGTTTCGGCAAATGCATGAACTTTGCTTTTAGTGATTGCATGGGACTAATTGACCCCTGCTGCTCCGTGATCTATTCAAACCCATTGCCATTAAGTTTTCCTTTTGAGCATCTCTGGTCCCCACAATAATGTGTGGCATACAGAGAAAAGCAGTGGCAGGGCTCTTCAGGGATGTGAGTGATTCCCTCACAAACCCATTTCTCAAGGTTTTAGTGAAGGGTACATTTTCTGAACATTCCAGTGTGGCAGATTAGGAATGACATAATGGGTCCATTCCAGCATTCCCATTTCCTTAAGTCAATAAACCCCATCAGCAGCAGTAAACCACAAAATGTCACACATCTCTAACTCATTCACATTGGGCTATATTTGTATACATACTTCTGTCAATCAGCAAAGGAACTGTTACAACCTTTCTTTACTCCCTGAGCTACAACAGTAAATTCAAAATCACAGCTCAACAGTCCCATACCAAAAAATTTAGCCTGACTTTGCTACTGTTATCCAACACAGGTAAAATCCATTTCCACGTTAATCATCAAGCCTATACTTAAAAGAAATTCTTCGGTAGAATAGTAGACCTAATCTGTATTGTCATGTATTACACTGTGTACCTGTCTCATAGGCATCTTTTGATTTGAGCATGGTGTACAGGCAAATGTGGGGGATGAGGGTAGGCCCCAAATAGTGCCAGCATTATCATGCTTGGTCAACACAGGATTAGTTACCTCAGGTATACTAGCAGAAGCTAACTCTACAGTGGTGTCGTCAATCTCTTCCTCTTGTAGAGTAGTCTTGTTACAGTATAAATGCTCAACACCCTCAGCAGCATCAGGATCCTCTTAAGTGTCTCCATCCTAATTTACAGAATCTCAGTCTTTTCCAATCTGTACTCTCACCTTTACCTCAGATATCCATCGAGGCTGAGCATTAAACTTGCACTGCATTTCAGCTTGTCAAACTATGAGGGTCCATTTTAGGTTTTTTCAATCTGAGTCAAGTGCTTAAGAGAAAAATTCTGTTTCAGGACACATTCTGAAAATTTTAGTGTGTATCCAGAACCATGAATTTGAATCTTTGAATTCCTTGTTTTCCTTTATTAATTTTTCCTCACAGTTAGATAAATTTGATCAGCTATACATGGGTTGAACTCATTGTCTTCTTTAGTTGTCCAGAGATGATAATGGGAACCAGCCATCATCATTGTATTTCCCTCTCTGCTAAAAATATTTATAGCTGTATATATATGAATTTGCTGTATTCCTATTCTGTAAATGGTGAATTAGCACAGACAAAGGAATCTACATTAGGTATTATTTTAAGAGTTTACAAAAATCCCATATTTGCCACAGTAGGAGAAGGACGGACCAACATGGTAAATTTTGATCTCATTAAATTAGAAAGTTAAGTACAGGAAATACTAAAGCCATTAAAGAATTTCATCTTTAAGGATGGAAAATCAATGTTGGGCCACAGGAAGCCAGAAAAAAGCAGAGGTAGCAATTGTATTTGCAGACAATGTGAACTTAAAACCAAGACAGTCCAACAGAGTCAAAGAAGATCTCAACAGACTCGTTAAATGAAAACTCCAAGAAGAGATAACAATCATAAATACATATGTGCCAAACACCATTGCACTCCACTACATAAACATAATATTAACAGACTTGAAAAATCAAATAAGCAGTAACACAATTGTAACGTGGGCCCTAATAACTCACTCTTAAAAACACTTACAAAAAATTAACAAGGAAATATCTGAATTAAACCAAACCTTAGAGCAAATGGTCTACATAGATGTCTACAGAGTGTTTGCCCTTACAACACCAGAATACATATTCTTCTTGGCTGCACATGGGAAATTTCTCCAGAATAAACCACATATTAGCTCTTAAAACAAGCTTAAGTAAATTCAGGGAGATTGAAATCATCCCATGTATATTATATGACTATAGTGCAATGAAATTGGATATCAACAGCAAAAGAAATCACAAAAAGACATAAACACATGGAAATTAAAAAACCATTCTCCTGAACATCTAGAGAGTCAAAAGAAAATTTAAAAAGAATTTAAATAGTGTCTCAAATGATACGACCAATACAACATCCTGGAACTTATGGGACATGATGAAAGCAGGCCTATATGAGAAATTTACAGGGATGAACTCTTACCGCAGGAAAAGAGAAAAAGCTCAAATAAAAACCCAGTGTTGAAAATCAGTTAAACAGAAAGGAAAACCAGGGAACCAGTAACAGGAAAATATCATGACAAAGACAAGCCAGTACTAATCAGTTAAAACCAGAAATGTAAATGGCCTTAACTCACCAATCAAAAAAAACAAAATGGCAGAATGGTCCAAGATTCAAGATCCAACAATGTGCTATATGCAAGAAACCCATTTAACTCAAAAAGAAATTCATAGACTGAAATTCAAAGGATGAAAAATAATCTTTCAAGAAATCATAATCCAGAAAAATGTAGGGGTACTATTCTGTATGCTAAGAATGTGAACTTCAAACCAAGAAAGATCACTACATCCTTGTTAGGGGAAAAATTCAAGAGGAAGAGATAATAATTACATATATGTATGCACCTATTACAGGAGCACCCAACTATATAAGACTATTATGAATAGACATGAAAAATTAAAGGAGTAATAGCACAATTGTAATGGGAGACCTCAATACCCCATTGTCACAGAGACAGATCAACTAGACAAAAAAAATCAGCAAATATTAGAACCTCAAACTTCTAGAAAGAACAAATCAAACCCAAAACTTGTATGAAGGAGGAAATTATAAATATAACAACAGAAATTAATGCAATTGTGACTAAGTAACAATACAAAGAATCAATCAAGGAATGAGTTCTTTGAAAGATTAAATCAAATTGATAAACCCTTAGCCAAACTCATCAAAAAGTGGAAAGAAAAGACTTACATTCAAGCAATTCAGAATGCAAAGGGAAAAAACACAACAGATCCTGCAGATCATCAATACCTACTTCAAGAACCTGTACTCTAATAAGAGAAAAGACTGGGAAAAAAGGATAGATTCCTAGAAACATGTGAATTGCATAAACTGAATCAAGAGGATATTCCATATAACCTGATATCAGTCAATGAAATTGAAAATGCAATTAAAATCTTCCCAACAAAACAAAGCCCAAGACATGAAGAATTTGCTGTTGAATTTGTGATAGCTCAGACCCCGGAATAAAACCCAAGGAAGCAAGAAATTAAAATTTGGGGAGCAAAGGCTTTGTTTTAGGCCAGGCCTGGTGTCACAATCTCCAGGAGCCAATTTGGAGACTGCGTGCCTGACAGCTAAAAGTCAGGGCTTTTAGCTTGTAAAAACCACAAACAGCTGCTGGTCTCACAATGCAAGGAGGGGGGCTGGGACAGGAACGCAGCAATTACATTGGGAAGAGCAAATTTCAGATAAGGATTGGGCTAACAAGCAAGTCTCCCTGCATACAAGCAAGTTGAGATTGGGCAAACATCTGTTATTTGTATTTGTAGAGGGCAACAATGGTTAACATATCAATTAGGTAAGATTTTACAATTTTTACAGAGGAGAGCATTTCTTATTTTAATTTTTTTTTTGTCTTTTTCCTTTTTATCGGTACCGGGGATTGAACTCACGACTGCCTGCTTACAAGGCAGGCACTTATGCCACTGAGCTAAATCCCCAGCCCCGCTTTTTGTGTGTTTTGTGTTTTGCAAACTCTTGTGCCATGACTCTTTAATGTATCTTTTGTGCTCTGGTTTTTCCCTCTGCTTCCACTCTTCTCTCATAGGAAATCATTCATCAGTTGATATCATCTTGTCTACTAATATCTTTTTCGTGACCCCTATTATGATTTGCCTTAGTCTCTCTGTTCATTTGATTTAGATCACAATATTGAAATATAAGGAAAGCATCTGTCTTGTCTCTATCACCCCTAAAAGCACCCTAAGGTCCTAGTACTGTGAATGCTTGAGTGCTATCTGTGATAGCAACAGATAGTACAGAGGAAAAATATTTCATTTGACAGAGCAAATATTTGCTACATGTTGCATGATCAGTACATCCTTACCTCGATGTTTCCATATCCTGAATATTCCAGGATTGAAATATTAACAGAAAAAAGACATGCTACATGATCTGTATATAGATCTATGTTCCCAATTCTGTGACTCTACTTCAGTTCCATTTTGTTGTGGACTGGCCTGAACCTATGATGTTTTCTGACATCTGAGGATTGATTTTTCCAAAGGACAGTGACCCTGAAATCTTCTGAGCATATTTGTGAGCCGTTTTCAGGAAGAGTCCACTGCGCCTCTTTAAAAAGAAGAAGAAGAAGAAAAGAAGAAGAAGAAAGAAGAAAGAAGAAAGAAGAAGAAGAAGAAGAAGAAGAAGAAGAAGAAGAAGAAAACAACAACAACAACAACAACAAAATGGGAGCTTTGAAAAACCAGAAGTAAAGCCCTTAAATATAAGCATTCTTCATAGTGATAAAGGGGAACAAAACTCCCAACCTATTATATATCTGGTATGAGTTCGTGTTCTCTAAAATCGAAGAATAAATTTTAGGGACAACAGAGGTTAAGAGCAGAATATATTTACTGAGAGAAAGAAAGCTTCTGTCTGAGAGAGAGAGAGACTGAAGAGGTCCCAGTGGATTGCCAAAGACTGTCTTTTCTAGGGATTTTTATAGAATAAAACCGCAAAGTGGGCAGGTCTAAGGTGGGGAACACATAGGAACTTGCAAGGCAGACTAGCATGAGTTGGGGCAAAACTATGGTCAACCAGTAAGATTAATTGCGCAGGTAAAATTGGTTACATCGAGGACAAATGGGGAAGCGAGTCACAAAACAATCGGGCATTGTTAGAGAGCAGTGGCTCTTCCCTAAGGGGTTGGGGATGACTCCTGCCTTCCTCAGGGTGATAGAGACCTATTTAGAATATCAATACTTACGATGTGGGTGCCTTTGCTTGATCTTTTGTCTTGAGGTCTGGCTCAAGTTATCTGGGCTTCTCACAGGCTCCTTTGAGTGTGCAGCCCTGTCTGACTGCCTATAATATTTCTATCTAACTCAGCTGCCAGGAACAATAGGAAGTGAGACTGACACTGGGAAAGAGAGTGGTTTATAATTTCCTGGTTCCAATTTATCTTTTGAGCTGGGCTTGGCAGCTCAAGCCGGTAATTTTAACATAGGGACGTTTTGGCAGGAGACTGCTTGGAGTTCGAGGTCAGCCTGGTGTAAAAAGTGAGCTCGAGGAGAGACTCAGTAGCATACCGAAAACTTGACTCCAAAACCCCCCAAATAAACAAACAAGTATCATTTGAGCTTAACTCTCGCTGGAGCAGGTTTGTTTCATTTATCATTCTCAACTTGGTGGTCAGATAAGGAACTGCAAAGGAGCCAATCAGAGACGAAGGCGGGCTGTCTGAACTACCCAATCAGGTGGGTCGAAGGGGAGGACACTTCCGGTGTCATGGTGCCGCAGTGACCACTGAGTGACTTGCTGAGAGGACCTGGCTGACTAGACCGCTTTGTTGTGTGATTTCTCCTGGCTGTGCGCTGCATTGGAAGGATCCTGGGAGACCCTCAAGCACGCAATGGTGAAGTTACCTGACGGGTGGTGGGAATGGTAGGGAATAGGAGGCGTTTCGGACGCAAGTGGTCAGATACAGCTGTGGCAGTCTCCTTACAGCCCCCCTGCTCAGCTGCAGTCGCCGAGATCTTCCCGGTCTTGGGCGCTGTGTCACCTTCTGAAAATTTCTCCTTTGCTCAGGAATGGACAGTGCTGGGTCCACAGCATGCAGACACTGTGCTGTGACACCGCTGCCCCACGGTCCCTTCCTGTGCGGCCCAGTCGGAGGTGAATCTCCCCGGGTCTGCAGAGAACAGCGACTTTGGGGGACGCTGGGATACTTCCTCAGCGATGGAAAAGTCATCGCTTCAGTTTCTCACGTGAAACCTTTACTCTCAACCATGTTACTGCATAAACAGGGCTCATGGTCTCACATTACTGAGGAATGAGGTCGCGAACTCAAAGAACGGAGTTAGAAGGGATTTTATTGGAAATAAGAGTGGCGCCATGATTTCCAGAAGTGTCTCGAGTGAGTGGCACTGTGACCTCTTAATCCAGAGCTAAGTTTAGATAAGCAGAGCCCAGTAAATTCTCAGGTTATTCTATTTTATTTTTTATTTTTAATCTTTTTGACTTTTTGAGGTAGTATTTCAATGCAGATCAGGCTGGCTTTGCACGCACTGTATAGGCCAGGCTGGCGTAGATCTCATAGGGATTCTCCCACCTTAGCCTCTCAACTACTGGGAATACAGGCTTGTGCCACCTTGCCCAGCCGATGCTCTGGTGTTTAGTGGCCACCTATCACCGAGGACTCTGAAGGGTTAAAACAACCACTTTGAACTCAGGCTCTCTCACTCATTTCTTTAGCATACACTGTTAAAACAAAACTGAGATATCAGAAAAACTGGATATTTTGTAATTTCAGTTTCTGAAATTCAGGTACTTATTAGAGTGTGGCTGCAAGTCCTTTTAGTGGGGAGGAGGCTGCATTCTTTTTTTGCAGAAAGTATACTCTTGTTCTGATGCTATATGTAATTGGCTGTTCTCAGTTTAATTCTTAAAAAAATAGGTCATTTCCTAACTCTAAACTATTCTTTACAATTAGACTACAAATAAGGGCTTCCATAGAGTTTAGAATGCTGAGAAAGATGGAGGTGATGTTCATGTATTACCAAAGGAGGAGAAACTTGTCCTGCTAAGAAGAACTTTCTGGAGGGGCTGCCTGTTAAACCCGGCAATGCCTTGAACTGTTGCATTTGCATGTAGTATTGCTATGATTGGAAAAGCAAAGAGGCATCATTTCAGAACTAATTGCTTTGTAGTCTGTGCACTGTTTCCAGCCATTGTTTAAAAAATTGAAACACTCTGCATGGCAAGTGTGAGGTCCTGAGTTCTATTTCCAGTACCATAAAAAAAACTGAAACACTGAATGAGATGTTCATATAAAAGAAGTACTTGAGCAGGGGTAAACTGCCGTAGTTAAGGTTGATGGGCAATTGAATGAATAGAATTAAAGCATTTTTTTTTCATTTTTATAGGTACCAGGGATTGAACTCATGACCGCCTGCTTGCAAGGCATGTGCTTATGCCGCTGAGCTAAATCCCCAGCCCCGAATTAAAGCATTTTTTGAATAGGCAAGAGGAAATGAGTGAAATGGTAGAAGAAAATGAGAGTGAGATGGAACTGGAGAGCAGGAGATTTTGAAGGATGGCAAAAATCAGCAAGTGCAGCAGTAAACTTCTCGAAAAATCAAATTGTTCTCACTGTGATAATAAATGAATGATTATATGCTGGCTTGCTCAGATATTGAGTCAAAAGTCACAGGCCTAAAGAAGGAAGAATTTAGTATAAGGAAAATATTTCTTCTGTGACTTCTGAGCAGCTTATGTGGTCGTTTTTGAGGCAAAGTTAGAAATTAGGAGACTGGTCTTTAGGTTTAAAAATAGAGTGGACATCTTGCCTGATGAGGAGTGCAAAGGGTTTTTTCTTGCATACAAAATATTTCAAGATGTTTGATCTTTTTTACTGTATAGGAACTGATGTCAGAAATTTTTCCCAGAACTATGTCCCTGTCTTGCAATTTATTTATTTTTTACCCCCCACCCGGCCATCCCCTGCAATTTATTTTTTAAAAAAGTTTGAGATTACGTATCACTAAATTACCCAGGCTTGGGAGAAATTTTGATAGCTTCTCCCTCCTTTAATGTTAGGATCTTAGATGTGTGCTACCTTGGCAGTTTAAGATTGAGGTTACCCATCACCATGATTTATCAAGATTACAATGGTTGCATAAAGAAAATGTCACTGAGGCATGGTGATGCACACCTTTAATATCAGACACTCAGTAAATTTAGGAGTAAGTGCAACCTGGATAATTGATGAAATAAATATATTGGGGTGTACCTCAACCGTAAACTAACTTGTCTAATGTGCATGAGGCCTTGAGTTAAGTTTCTAGTAATGAAGAGAAAATGAAAAATTAGTGCAAATTTTACTATAAATTTTGAAATTTCCTGATTTTTCACACTAATGGTACATGGTACAGTACTTCCTCAAGATGGTACAGAGCAGTAATGAGTCACTGCAATGTCAGAAAGAGGACATTAACTGTGAACAAACAGTGGTTTACAGTGTACTGTATTCAGTAACATAAATGAGAGTTTTAGTGTTTTATTGTGAATTTGATTTTCTGGTATATAAATTTGCCCAAATACAGATCAAATACAGATGTGTGTTGAACAGGTTTAAAGATTTCAAGGCTTAGGCATATGTGTGCTTACGTTTCATGCCTTTTCAGTACATTTTCTCTTCAATTTTCAGTTGATGAAGATACTTTCTTTTTGTCACTCAAGCAGCATCTGTAGACTAATTCCTTCAACTGTTGTAGTCCTCTGTAGAGTCTGACACTCACCAGATTGTTTCTTTTTAGGAGAGCTGTATTAATCAGTATTTTCTGAGGTATACAGTTCTGAGAACAGTATAGTTGCGTTTGGAAAAAGGAAAAATACTCTGGATGTTTTTTGTTTGTTTTGTTTTGAATTTTAAAAATCATTATTAAAATAGTTGCCCGACTCCAGCCACACTATTTGGATTTCATTAGCAGGACAAGGGGATAGGAGGGAAAGCTCCAAAGAAAAGACACAGTGCTGAGTAGCTAGAACCCAACACACGAAGCATGTGCAAGGTTGAAGGGAAAGCATTTCCATTTCTAGTTTTAATTTATGCTGATTTGGGGAAGCCTTCTTTCTGTTTTAACCTTAGATCATCATCTACCTTTGTACATGAGCCTTACTCCTTCTGCAAGCACTTTAACTTCCAAGCGTGTCTGTATCCATACTCTATATCAACACTTAGAAGATGTTCAGGTTCTCTGTGCAGGACATACTTTGCATTATTAGATTGTTTCATCTTCATAATGACCTTATGAGCTCCACTTGTATTTGACAAAGTAGTGCTTGTTGAATCACCTGATAGAGAAATTTAATACGTTGCATTTCACACAGCTAACATGGGGACTGCTTCATTGTGTCCCAGAGATTCCTGTAATTGGTATTTGCATTTTTGTTCGATAATAGATATTGTATAATTTCTTCTTTATTTTTTTCTGTGACCCATTGATTGTTGAGGAGTACTATTTAATTTCCATATGTTTATCGAGTTTTTGTGATTTCTTTTGTCATTGATTTCCAACTTTATTGCAATGTGGTCAGATAATGCTCGGGAGAATTTCAATTCCTTTGCATTTACTTAAGCATGTTGTGTGGGATAGTATATGGTCTGTTTTACAGAATGACCCATGTGCAGCTGAGAAGAATGTGTATTCTGATATTGTTTGGTGGAACACTGTACACATCTACTAAGTCGATTTGTTCAAAGTTTGATTCAGTTCTTTTGTTTGCTGACTTTTTGTCTAGTTGGTCTATCTTTTTTTAACAATGGGGTGTTAAAGTCCCTATTATAATTGTACTATAGCTTATTTAAATTTTCATGTCTGTTAATATTTTTCTTACATATTTGGGTGCTCCCATATTTGGTATATATATATGAATAAAACCAAAAGAAAACAATAGAGTTAATCAAAACAAAACAATGAACGTGATACAAGACTTCAAAACAAGGTATGAAGAAATCAATAATGGGTACCATAATGCCTCTTGTTATCTTCAAAATAGCTGTCCATAACATCAGGTGTACTAAGATCAAACAAAACAGAACAGAATAACACCAATGAAAACAGAGCAATGAAATCAATAGAGGACTTCAAAATATGACAATAAGAATACAATAGAGACTACCATAATTCATCTTGTTACTTCAAAGCAACTGCTTATACTATTAGACATAATAAAATCAAACAAAACAAAATAGAATAAAATCAATCAAAAGAAACTAAAGCAACACAGGGCTTCAAAACAAGGTCAAAGGAAATTAATGACTACCATAATACATTTTGTTATTTTATTTTATTTTTTTTTCATTTTTATCAGTACCAGGGATCGAACTCACGACTGCCTGCTTGCAAGGCAGGTGCTTATGCCGCTGAGCTAAATCACCAGCCCCTCATTTTGTTATTTTTTAAAAATTTTATTTAAGGAGAAAAAGATAAAAAAAGCAGAGAAAAGGTACAAGTTATACAGGTTTACAGAAAAAAAACAAACAGTAGGAGATCACTAGTTAATGGATTACATATTGTCATCTTAGAAATAATTGTTCAAGTTACAAAATTAAAGCTTATAAAGTGGACATTCCAACAGTGAGATTGCAAACAGTTCTGTCCAATGATCCAACAAAACTCAGTAATATCATTATCTTATACACTTAAATATACATGCAGTTATATCGTTTAGAGCACTTTCTTTTCCTCTCTTTTGTACAATGACAATTACACATTTTGGGTTTTGTTGCTCCCACAGTTCTTATTACTTTTTTGGAAGAGACTAGAACCAAATGTGACATAACAGAACAGAGTCAGTCAAATCAAAAGGGTGGACATAATAGATAATGTAAAAGCATAATACAAGGTGATC